ACTATCCTATTGCTGAAAAAGTGCTTCCGCGTGTTTATTCGACACCTCTGCTTCATGAGCTTGAGCTCATGACCCCTAGTGCCGTGTTGAGGAGCTAATGCGAAGAGACTGTCGGCTCCTATCCCCGATATTCCCCTCGTGATTTTGAAGGTTTCTATCAGGTCTCCTCGCAGTCTCCTTCTTTCTAATGAGAAAAGCCCTAGAGCCTCTAGTCTTTCCTTATTTGTTCTCCCCCTTTGACCTTCAACCATTCAGATGGCCAATCTCTGAAGTTTCTCTGAACCGGCAGCACCCTTCTTGAATAAGAGTGACCGAGGCTGTACAAAATACTCTAGGTTTAGTCTGATTATGGCTTTGTAAACGGAAATGAAGATTTTCGGTCGTATGCATGATAGGACGAACCGTAATCTAAATATTTAGCCCTAACCTTGCGCGCTGCTAGTGCACACTGGTCAGAACACTTAAAATTATTCGATACCGCTAATCTCAAGTCCTTACCCCTGGGAGCGGATGCAATGGTGAACTGTTGCTCTTCCGAGTGAACTTCTAGTCCGTCGAGTGCCCGTGTGAGCACATAACCATTGGTAGCGTAAGACATTGGCCCCATTCCTTTGTCTATCTAGCTACCTGCTGTAAATCCCGCTCCATTTGTACCAACCCTTTTGACGTCATCTGCAAACATGTAGCATAGTGATGTCAGAGTGCTTGACAAGTTCTTTGTGTAGAGAAGAAATAGAAGCGGTCCTAATACTGATCCTTGTGGAACTCCACTAGTCAGCTGATTTGGTGTTGACCTTTTCTCACCAACTGTCACAGTATGATCGTTGTGAGAGAAAGGCACTATACCGGAAAATCAGAAAAAACTGGAGCTCAGTTCAGGTTGGTTTGCACAGGACGATGTGTGGCCCGGGCTAATCGTGCGTCCAGATTGATGAGCTGTTGGTTGATCTTGTGGTTTCCACCACTGCAAGTCAATAGGTTTTGTCTGAAAGGCAGAATACGAGGTGCAGTATCACGTACTGGGCAGTGACGCTCAAGACAAATAGGTACTTAACTTGAAACTGTGTCATGGAATATGGAAGCCCAACAGTTATCTAAGGCCCCCTTAGAGGCTATGGCGTTCAAGCAACTTACCACGTCCCCAGGTAGACTACTCCAGTAAGGTATTACGCGACCTGTAAAGAAGTTGGCTCGAATGTCCAGCCATACAAGACTACGTTGCAGTCTTTAAACTATGTCCCCTAGTACCAATTGAAGGAATGAACTGGAATATATCATCAAACTTGAGTCCGGAGAGACCGCTCATGACCTTAAAGACTTCTATGAGATTACCCCCAATTCTCCTTGCCAGAGAAAACAAGTTAAGATCCTTGAGTCTCTGCTCGTAGCTCTTGCCTCTCTATCCCCCCATCATTCTTGTAGCCCGGCGTTGCACTCTTTTTATACATTCGATGCCTTTCCGAAAGTAGGGTGCCCATGCCTGAACACAATATTCCAAGTGAGGCCTGACTATGGCTTTGTACAGTGTGACGAGATCCTCGGATATCCTACACTTAATCGTGCAATGTACACGAAAGAGTTCCCTTCGAGCTATGTTGGCTGCCCTCTGACATTGTTGAGATAGTTGGAAGTCGTGTTGTATAATGACTCTCAGGTCCTTAACGTCCCTCTCTCTTAAGCTGGATTTCAGTCTGTATGTCAAGTTTAGCTTCTGCTGTTAAAAGCTGATATTTGGCTAGATGGAGCGGAAGATCCCACTGTTTGGACCACAGTATAACCGCCTGCGGGTCCTGATATACATTTGCTCCAACCACCTTTAAGTCGCCCGCGAACATGAATCACGGGTTGTTAATTTTCCGTGGCAGATCATTGACGAACATCAGAAATAGCAGCGGGCCTAACACAGAACGCTGAGGGACACGCGTCGGGCAAGTCTCTGCTTTGCCTAATTCTGCCTGAAGGCTTCGAGCCTTTTCGCGTAAGATAGATTTCTTAAACCGGCAAACCATTTGGTGAAGCGGCGCTGCTCTGGTCTTAGTGTTTTCATGTCCTTGATCAGAAACGGGCTCCAAGCCTTGATGTAGTATTCGAGGTGCGGACGCACAAAAGCCTCATACAGGGGGAGCAATATTTTGGGTTTCCGAGAGCTTACCGCGCGTTTTGGTGCAAGGCTCTGGATGCCCGGTTATCTGCCTCTCGGCACTGGAGTCCCGGCTTGAAGTCCGCACTAACAAGATCTCTGGCTATGGTTACCGTGGGTATCTGTTGGGACTGGTCCGGGGGTCCCAATGTCCTGCTACCTTGCATGCTTCCAGTTCTTACCAGATGTTGACATTTCAGTGCATTCAGAAGCAGGTCTCGTTTACCTGACCACGCATAAATTTTGTCCAGTTCCCTCTGGACCGATTCCGTTGCGGAACCGCAACGAAGTTTACTTGTAGCAGCCGTTTTTCAGATCGGTGCTGAGGTTGTTGATGTTGGGCACAAAATTATTGGACTTAAGATAGAGCCCTATGGCACTCCATTAAGCACTCGTCTCTGGCTTGATATGCTATTTTCTACCTTCAGAACACACCTCCGACCTGTTAAGCAGCTGCGTATCCATTCTAAGATTCTCTGATACAGCCCCAAAGCCTTCAACTTCGTCACCAGTAGTCTATGATTGATAGGGTTAAACGCTTTCTGTAAGTCTAAGTAGCAGACGTCAACTTCCACTCCCCTGTCGATCCTCTTAGTTACTTCATCAAGAAAACAGAGGAAATTTGACGGGCATGACTTCCTCCTGAACCCATGTTGGTCAGCCGTCAATGCACATACAGCTACTACGTGTACAGCGATCCTTTTATTCAGTACTCTCTCAATTACTTTGAGTAATACCGATGTAAGGCTGACTGGACGATGATTAGAGCAAGACTTACGTTCTCCTCCCTTGTGGATAGGGATGACTGTCGCCAAAGGCCAGTCCGTGAGTAGTTGGTTCTGTACGATGGAGGCATTCAATAGACTGGCAATGGACTCATCCAAGTGGTCAGCCGGTGGTCTCAGGATAGCAGGGTGAATGCCACCTGGCCCTTCTGCCTTAGTTGGAATGAGCTCCCTTAAGACCCGATGCACTTCATCTGCAGAGATAAACAACGTCTTGAATAAGGGTTCCCTCATGATTTCCAATGGTGGGCACTGGTCTACCGTTGTCTGGTCTGTAGCCACTCTGGAAGTAGTTGAGGAGGGCTTCCGCCTTCTCTTGGTTGGACCAAGTTTAGTTCCCCCTCGTATCAACGATTGTACCCACTTCCTTTCTAAGGGTACACTTGGACTGTACATAGTTGGATACATAGTTCGGCATATATTTGAAATACTTCGATGAGGTCTTCGCTCAATCTCCCCCTTTTTCTAGTGAAAAAAGACCGAGCGCTTAGAACCTCACTTTTATGTTTTCCCCGCATACCCTCAACCATCCGTGTTGCTAGTGGCTGGACCTTCTCCAGACAGGCTGCGTCCTTTTTGTAGAAGGGCGACCAAGCCTGAACACAGTATTCTTTTTGAGACCTTACGATGGCATTGTAGATGGGTATAAATACTTCTGGTTTCCTACACGAAACCGCTGACCTAAGTCAAA